AAACTCTGACAAATTTCTTGGTATTGGGTCGAGACACCATCCGGCAAAACCTTCACTACGATTATGAAACTTTGACAAAACGACTCGCAGATACCAAGGGCACATTAGAGAGCTGTCTCCTGGAGTTGTCACAGTATGGTAACCGCACAGATCAGGTGAGAATCAGTACCTTTATTCCAAAAAGTTGGGAAATGATGCTTGCACTGATTTTGAGGAAAAACACTGAAGATTTTTTTCAGAGTCCAACAATTTATGCAATTTTTAAACTATCTCTTCATATGACTTGAAATAAGAAACAATTAAGGCACAGGGTGAGCCAAAAATGTTATTCTAAACAAATGTTAAAAACTAAGTCATTCAGCATTGTTTAAGATCATATTTATCACCATTAAACCTTTTCAATTTTCTTCATCTTAGAAGTATGGCTATATATTATACTAAAACTGAAGGGATTTTAGAGTAGATCACAATTATGGTATTGTTTTTCTGATTCTTTTCTCAGAAAATTAAAAATGGCTGGAATAGGCCATAACTTAGAGATATTATACTACAATGATCTATTTATTGAAGGGAAGAGTGCGATGGTAAATATTACATTGTGACTGTACAATTCATGATTTATATATGTTCGTTGGGATTCCTTACACCTTGGAGTTGCCAATTTCTAGTTGTAAATTGTGAATTGTAGGTTCTACAACATGAGTCAGAACATCCCCAGGTTCTACAACAACATGATTCAGAACATCCCAAGGTGCTACAACATGAGTCAGAACATCTATCACCAGGTTCTACAACATGAGTCAGAACATCACCAGGTTCTACAACATGAGTCAGAACATCCCAAGGTTCTACAACAACATGAGTCAGAACATCCCAAGGTTCTACAACAACATGAGTCAGAACATCCCAAGGTTCTACAACAACATGAGTCAGAACATCCCCAGGTTCTGCAACAACATGAGTCAGAATATCCATCACCAAGTTCTACAACAACATGAGTCAGAACATCCCCAGGTTCTACAACAACAGGAGTCAGAACATCATCAGGTTCTACAACAACATGAGTCAGAACATCCCAAGGTTCTACAACAACATGAGTCAGAACATCCCCAGGTTCTACAACAACAGGAGTCAGAACATCATCAGGTTCTAAAACAACATGAGTCAGAATATCCATCACCAGGTTCTACAACAACATGAGTCAGAACATACCAAGGTTCTACAACAAAATGCGTCAGAACATCATCAGGTTCTACAACAACCCGAGTCAGAACATCATCAGGTTCTACAACATCAGAGCAATGCATCCCCAGGTTCTACAACAACATGCGTCAGAACATCATCAGGTTCTAAAACAACATGAGTCAGAACATACCAAGGTTCTACAACAAAATGCGTCAGAACATCATCAGGTTCTACAACAACCCGAGTCAGAACATCATCAGGTTCTACAACATGAGTTGTTTGGTTGTTTGCAAGCTAACGAAATATTGATGAAATAGTGATTAATAGAATTTATTAAGTAAATTGATCAGAAGTATTTGAATTTATAGTACCTACGAAAACATATATTTCGTGAAAAATATCACAGACTCTCGATAGCTAATACATTTTTATAGTCTCAGGGTGTTATTTAGATGGAAATCGGTGTTTGTTTCAAGGTTACAATGAATGTGTGCAAACCATCTTTTGTTGAAATGCCTTGTTAACTTTATGTAAACATATTCATTTGCAATAACTTTGTAAAGTACATGTAGTCATTTAATAAGAGAAATCTTAAATGGATGAATTGTGGTGCCCCAATAAGTGGAGAGTATAAGATTTCTACTTGGCGAATAAATATGAACACTGTTATTTCAATACAGGATATATCATGCAAAAAAATTGGAGATTGGTTAGCTCATTACATTTGGAAGATCTTAAAGATATTCAATTAGTGGTTCTTACACAGTTTGCCTCTGAGAATAACAAGGCGTCTGTTGTTGGTAAACATTGGATTTCTTCTAAAAATTCAAAAATTGAAGTAGCATTAAGCGGTTCTTTTGTTTATTGTATTTTTGAGTTTTTGAGGGATTCCATTGACATTTAATCATGGGGTTATGGAAATTGTTTTTTCTTGTCAAATTTAACCAGTAATTGCATTATTCATTATGTAGGCATTTTAGTTTATGTGGACATACCTGAATCGGTGCATTTTCTGTTGTGTTATTGCCAACTCAAGGGTATGATATTGAGAAAAATATCGATTATGATCCTTTTAGCTGTGATCACTTAGGTTTTCATACTCTACAGCTACTATTTTTATTTGCATTAAACATGTTGAAAATCATCACTCACTATAATATATCAATCAGTTCTGTTAATCAAAATCAATGTGTTAATATTGAGACAAAATTCAATAAAAAAGTCACATTTGCACTCATTGGAATTGTGCGCTCATTAGAGATAGTATTACAGGTATATGTATTACATTTTTCATATCTTATATACAACAGTAAAACCTGTTTTAGTGCACACCTCTCTCTAGTTATCACCACTTTAGATAGATTTCACATCGACTCCTGTATATAATCCCATCTAGTTAGAAAATACCTACCGTGAACACTTTTTGTGGCTCAATAGGTGGTCACTATTTACAGGTTTTACAGTATTTGAATTTATTGGAATATATGTAAATGTGCCTTTATTTGTGATCGATGTACAATGGACTTGATGTTTCAATACTGAATGCATACATTTTTGGCTTTTGCAAAATATATATTGTCACTAGTCCACAGTAGGGGCAATAGGAATTAGCCACATCCAAAAATGGAGACAAAATTAATGTTTATGTTCAGGATTGAAGTGAGTCAACAGGTATATGCATAATTATAAAACTTTATAAATCGCTTGATAAAATGAATAGTCACATGGGTTGACCTTGAAATGGCATGTGTAAATAGTTATTTGCAATAGAAATAAATAAATCCGTACATCAAACTTTCTTTATTAGTTTATTTGGTCCAGACTTGAATACAGCATCAACTCCAAATACTTCAATGTAGTTCAAGGCCAGCTATTATCAGAAATTATAACATTAATTAAAACCTCATCTAATCCCAAATACCTTTGAACACGTAAACTTGAACACATAAGGATTCCAACTCCTAATTGCTATAGCCAATTCATCTTCAAGAACAAATTTTATTCTATTTGAGAGCCTATATCGGCATGAATTCAAACTGACAGAAAGGTAAAAGGTCGGGCAATTAATCCAATTCATGAATACCAAAGGATGCTACATCCCGGGTTTAGAGTGTTTTGCATTTCGTTCAGTTTATGGCGCCTCTCACTGGCAAAAGTTAAAATAGCACTGGTTTCGAGACTATTTAAATACGGGTCAAGGGATGCAGGATAAATGAGTCGGAGGATGATATATCTCCTGGGTTTTATACAGCATTTTATTGTTTTAAGTTAAAATCTGGGCTGTAGCCGGGATTTGACGGGGGGGGGGGTCATTTTTATAAAAATCCAAGGGATTCACTTTTGAAATGGCCAAAAAATGACCAAAACCCTTGAAAAAGTGCTCAGCTGCATGGTTTTGAAAGCATTTTTGGCAATGGTAGAAGGTCCTGGCTACGGGCCTGTTACATAAGTTTGTTAATGATAGATTCAAACTGATAGCATGGTCGGTCATACGGGGGTCCTATCCTTAAATCCATAAATACTCTGATAGGACGCTGTCCCGGGGTTTTTGTGTCGTTTCGTTCAGTAAATAGCACTGGTTGCGAGACTATTTTAGTACGTGTTTCGTATCCATATATACTCTGATAGGACGCTGTCCCGGGATTTTCGTGTCGTTTCGTTCAGTAAATAGCACTGGTTGCGAGACTATTTCAGTACGTGCTTCGAAAACCATCAGCACGGGTTTAGGAAACCCGGGTTCTGTCAGTGTTTGCCATCGACCCTTTCTCGCGCGATCGTGGTACATTTTACAGTATATGGTTCCATTTAGATAGACTGTACCATATTGATAACCGAGTTATTCCGTTGAAAGATTCCATATGCATAATTTTTGAAGGCAGGGGTAGGAAAATCTGAGAGAACTTTACACAATAAGTGACAGCAAAAAGGGGCGAAGTGTTGAGTGTTGTTGATGTGTTGAGTAGTGTAGTTTTTAGTGTTGTTGAGATTTTTGAGGGGTGTTGGGTAATTGGGTTGAGTGGTGTTAGGTTGAGTGAGGAGTGATGGGTTGAGGCCTTGGGGGTCGTTGTGTAACATGATTTTGGGCCGAGTGGTGTTATCCCGAGAGGTGTTGAATTGAGGGGTGTTGAGATAAGTGGTATTAGGTTGAGTGGTATTTTGACTGAGTGGTGTTGGCCCGGTGTTGGTTTGAGTTGGGAGTGTTGGGGTGAGGTATGTTAGGCTGACGGTGCGAGTTGAGGGGTATTGGGTTGAATCGTGTGGTGTTGAGGGGTGTTGGGTTGAGGGGTGTTTGGCTGAAGGGTGTTGGGTTGAGGGATGTTGGGTTGAGGGATGTTGGGTTGAGGGGCGTTGGGTTGAATGGTGTGGAGTTGAGGGGTGTTGGGTTGAGGGGTGTTGGGTTGAATCGTGTTTGGTTGAGGGGTGTTGGGTTGAATGGTGTGGAGTTGAGGGGTGTTGGGTTGAGGGGTGTTGGGTTGAAGGGTGTTGGGTTGAGGGGTGTTGGGTTGAATGATGTGGAGTTAAGGGGTGTTGGGTTAAGGGGTGTTGGGTTGAAGGGTGTTGGGTTGAAGGGTGTTGGGTTGAGGGGTGTTGGGTTGAGGGGCGTTGGGTTGAATGGTGTGGAGTTGAGGGGTGTTGGGTTGAGGGGCGGCACATTGAATGGATTACTTCCAGGTACGCAACAAATAATGTTTTCAAAATCATGAGATTCTTTAGCATTTTGACCACTTTTCAAGCCCCCCCCCCCCCTCCTGATATGTCTATGGCTCTGCACTTCCTACCCTTTACGGCTGCTTTAAAATAAAACTTTATCCTACCTAGGCAAGCTGCACCGTCAGATCCAAGAGTATATCCAGGATTACATTTGCATTCAAACCCGAATGGAGTACTAACACACACGTGGGCACAATTCACCTCCTTCCCAACACAGTTATCTCGCGATGCTGTAATATTTATGAGAAATAGAAATATAAAATAATGAAACTGAAATATTCCAGTTTGCAATTGTTTATTTCTAGCATTAAGTCAGAGCCTCTATTAAAGGGTTAACAAAGGAACAAAGTCCATACCTACTCTCTGGAAAAACCAAGTTCGGACTATTCAATTTCAAAATGATTCTTAGACAATCGATTGCTTTCGCGGGAAATAAAATTAAGACTTTTAGGAAACATATGCCCAGTTAATCAAAATACTTCCACATGACCACAAAATGACCGCAAAAAATTAATCAGCTAACTTAATATCCTTTATAATGTGTACGAAATTGAAAAAATGAGTGGTCCCGGATGAGTGGTCCCGTATGAGTGGTTCGTGTATTTCTGAAATCGCGATGACAAGATTGACTGTAAAACTTCAAAAATGGCAACCAGAAATCGAAATGGCCATCATAAAGTTATTCAGCTCTGAAACTTGGTAACCTCTATCATATGTACTAATTTGAAGAAAATCAAATGAGCGGTTTTTCTTGAAATCGCGATGACAAAAACGGGACACTTCACGATCACGTTTACGATAACGCCAAACATGTCGATAATAATATCAACCGATGGACTGATAAAAATACACTTTGGCTCTAAAGGCAGTAGTAATGCCCACTTAATTCTCAGACATTACCAAATAAGACAAGGTCCACTCCTACTTTGGGCAACTTTGGGAGTAGAAAGAAACTAGCTTTGTTTGCTTGTAAACAATCTTAAGTTTAAATAAAGTTCTACCGTGCCCAAAAAAGAATTAGGTCACGTTACGTTTATTGCAGAGGGATTTATTAGAATGATAAAATCAACTCTTTATCATATTTATAATTCTCTATCAAGTTGTGAAGTTATCTAAACAAGGTCAATAAGGCATATTTATCACTTACATCTGGACATGAAGTCAAACGTCTTGGAAGCATTTGCAGGTGGCCCCGGTGGTCCTGGCAGTCCGCGTGGACCACTAGGGCCAGTGGCACCTATACCAGGAATACCACTTGGTCCCGTAGCTCCATTTTGACCTGCAGTCCCCGTAGGTCCCAAAACACCAATTGGTCCCGATGGCCCAGTAGATCCAGCTAATCCCGTTGGCCCTGTAGCACCGGTTATTCCAGTTGGCCCAGTGCTTCCAGTTTGTCCAGTACTTCCAATTGGCCCAGTTTGCCCAGTAGCTCCTGTTGGTCCACTTTGCCCAGTAGCTCCAGCTGGTCCAGTTGGACCAGTACTTCCGATGGGTCCACTTTGCCCAGTAGCTCCAGTGGGTCCAGTAGTTCCAGTTGGCCCAGTACTTCCAGTTGGCCCAGTACTTCCAATTGGCCCAGTTTGACCAGTAGCTCCAGCTTGTCCAGTTGCACCAGTTGGTCCAGTATTTCCGATCAGCCCAGTTTGCCCAGTGCCTCCTGTTGGTCCAGTTGGACCAGTAGCCCCAGTTTGCCCAGTACTTCCGATCGGTCCAGTTTGCCCAGTAGCTCCAAGTGGTCCAGTTGGACCAGTACTTCCGATCGGTCCAGTTTGCCCAGTAGCTCCTGTTGGTCCAGTTGCACCAGTAGTTCCAGTTGGCCCAGTACTTCCGATTGACCCAATTTGCCCAGTAGCCCCAGTTGGTCCAGTACTTCCGATCGGTCCAGTTTGCCCAGTAGCTCCTGTTGGTCCAGTTGCACCAGTAGTTCCAGTTGGCCCAGTACTTCCGATTGACCCAATTTGCCCAGTAGCCCCAGTTGGTCCAGTACTTCCGATCGGTCCACTTTGCCCAGTAGCTCCAGTGGGTCCAGTTGGACCAGTAGTTCCAGTTGGCCCAGTATTTCCAATTGGCCCAGTTTGACCAGTAGCTCCAGCTCGTCCAGTTGCACCAGTTGGTCCAGTATTTCCGATCAGCCCAGTTTGCCCAGTAGCACCTGTTGGTCCCGTTGGACCAGTAGTTCCAGTTGGCCCAGTACTCCCAATTGGACCAATTTGTCCAGTTGCACCGGTTGGTCCAGTATTTCCGATCAGCCCAGTTTGCCCAGTACCTCCTGTTGGTCCAGTTGGACCAGTAGCCCCGGTTTGCCCAGTACTTCCAATCGGTCCAGTTTGCCCAGTAGCCCCAGTTGTTCCAGTACTTCCGATCGGTCCAGTTTGTCCAGTAGCTCCTGTTGGTCCAGTTGGACCAGTAGCTCCAGTTGGCCCAGTACTTCCGATCTGTCCAGTTTGCCCAGTAGCCCCAGTTGGTCCAGTACTTCCGATCGGTCCAGGTTGCCCTGAAGCTCCAGTGGGTCCAGTTTGACCAGTTTTTCCAGTATTCCCGATCTGCCCAGTTTCCCCAGTAGCCCCAGCGGGTCCAGTTGGACCAGTAGCCCCAGTGGGTCCAGTAGTTCCAGTTGGTCCAGTGTTTCCGATCGGCCCAGTTTGCCCAGTAGCTCCAGCTGGTCCAGTTGGACCAGTACTTCCGATAGGTCCAGTTTGGCCAGTAGCTCCAGCCGATCCAGTTGGACCAGTAGCCCCAGCGGGTCCAGTAGTTCCAGTTGGTCCAGTATTCCCGATCCGCCCAGTTTGCCCAGTAGCTCCAGCCGATCCAGTTGGGCCAGTAGTTCCAGTTGGTCCAGTGCTTCCAATCAACCCAGTTTGCCCAGTAGCTCCAGCCGGTCCAGTCGGACCAGTATTTCCACTAGGTCCAGTTTGACCAGTAGTTCCACTAGGTCCAGCTGGACCAGTAGTTCCACTCGGTCCAGTTGGACCAGTATTTCCAGTTGGTCCAGTGCTTCCGATCAGCCCAGTTTGCCCAGTAGCTCCAGACGGTCCAGTTGGACCAGTAGTTCCACTAGGTCCAGTTGGACCAGTAGCTCCTGTTTGTCCAGTTGGACCAGTAGCTCCAGCTAGTCCACTTGGTCCTGTACTTCCAAATGACCCTGTTTCCCCAGTAGCTCCTGTTTGTCCAGTTTGCCCATAAGTTCCTGTTGGTCCAGTAGTTCCACTTGGTCCAGTACTTCCGGTCGGCCCAGTTGGACCAGTAGATCCGATCGATCCAGTTGGACCAGTAGCTCCAATTTCTCCAGTTTGCCCAGTAGTTCCAGTTGGACCAGTATTACCTGCTTGACCAGTAGCTCCCGTAGGTCCAGTTAAACCAGTAACTCCAGGTAGTCCAGTTGGCCCAGTAGTTCCAATTGGCCCATTTTCCCCAGTAGCTCCAGCTTGTCCAGTTGGACCAGGAATTCCAGTTGGTCCAGTTGCTCCTGTAGATCCAGATGGACCAGTTCGACCACTTTGACCAATTGTTCCAACTGGCCCAATAGTTCCAGTTGGCCCAGTAGCTCCAGCTAGTCCAGTCGGTCCAGTTTGGCCAGTTGGTCCAGTAGGACCATTAGCTCCAGTTGGCCCAGTTGATCCAGTTGAACCAGCAGTTCCGGTATGTCCAACTTGACCAGTAGCTCCAGTCGGTCCAGTTTGACCAGATATTCCAGTCGGTCCAGTTGGCCCAGTCGGTCCAGTTTGCCCAGTAGCTCCAGTTGACCCAGTGTTTCCATTCGGTCCAGTTGGCCCAGTACTGCCAGTAGGTCCGATCGATCCAGTTGGACCAGTATTTCCTGTTGGTCCAATTTGCCCAGTGTTTCCAGTTGGCCCAGTGCTTCCGGTTGGTCCAGTATTTCCAATTGATCCAGTATGACCAGTACTTCCTGTAGGTCCAGTTGATCCAGTACCTCCTGTCGGTCCAGTTGATCCAGTATTTCCGATTGATCCATCTGGACCAGTACTTCCTGTTGGTCCAGTTCTTCCAATCGATCCAGTTGGCCCAGTACTTCCTGTCGGTCCAGTTGGTCCAGTACCTCCTGTCGGTCCAGTTGATCCAGTATTTCCTCTTGGTCCAGTTGGACCAGTGCTTCCAGATGGCCCAGTTGGTCCAGTTGATCCTGTTGTTCCAGCAGGTCCCGTTTGGCCAGTACTTCCGGTCGGTCCAGTTGGACCTGTAGCACCAGTTAGTCCAGTTGGACCTGTAGCACCAGTTAGTCCAGTTGGACCTGTAGCACCAGTTAGTCCAGTTGGTCCGGTTGTTCCAGTATCTCCTGTTGGTCCAGATGAACCTGTAGCCCCAGTTGGTCCAGTTGATCCGATTGTTCCAGCAGGTCCCGATTGCCCAGTACTTCCAGTTGGTCCAATTGGCCCAGTATCTCCTTTTGGTCCAGATAAACCAGTATTTCCGATTGATCCAGCTGGACCAGTACTTCCTGTTGGTCCAGTTCTTCCGATCGATCCAGTTGGCCCAGTACTTCCTGTTGGTCCAGTTGGTCCAGTACCTCCTGTCGGTCCAGTTGATCCAGTACCTCCTCTTGGCCCAGTTGGCCCAGTTAATCCCGTTGCTCCAGCAGGTCCCGTTTGCCCAGTACTTCCGGTCGGTCCAGTTGGACCTGTAGCACCAGTTAGTCCAGTTGGTCCGGTTGTGCCAGTATCTCCTGTTTGTCCAGATGAACCTGTAGCCCCAGTTGGTCCAGTTGGTCCGGTTGTTCCAGCAGGTCCCGTTTGCCCAGTACTCCCAGTCGGTCCAGTTGGACCTGTAGCCCCAGTTGGTCCGGATGGTCCAGATGATCCAGTAGGTCCAGTATTTCCTTTTGGTCCAATAGGACCAGTGCTTCCAGTTGGTCCAGTTGGACCAGAACTTCCAGATAACCCAGTAGTTCCTATCGGTCCAGTCGGGGCAGACTTTCCAGCTGGTCCGGTTTTACCAGTACTTCCTGTCTGTCTAATTTTTCCAGTTGGCCGAGTAGTCCCAATTGATCCAATTGGACCAATATCTCCAGTTTGTCCGGTTGTTGCTGTAGTACCAGTTGGTACTGTACTACCAGTTGCTACTGTAGCTTCAGTTGTTGCTGTAGTACCAGTTGTTGCTGTAGTACCAGTTGTTGCTGTAGTATCAGTTGGTACTTTGGCTTCAGTTGTTTCTGTGGTATCAGTTGGTACTTTGGCTCCAGTTGTTGTTGTAGTACCAGTTGTTGCTGTAGTCTCAGTTGGAACTTTGGCTCCAATTGTTATTGTAGCCCCAGTTACTCCTATTGTACCAGTTGGTACTATTGTACCAGATGTTGCTGTAGTACCACTTGTTGCTGTAGTATCAGTTTGTACTTTGGCTCTAGTTGTTGTTGTAGTTTCAGTTGTTGCTGTAGTATCAGTTGGTACTTTGGCTCCAGTTGTTGCTGTAGTACCAGTTGTTGCTGTAGTTTCAGTTGTTGCTGTAGTATCAGTTGGTACTTTGGCTCCAGTTGTTGCTGTAGTTTCAGTTGTTGCTGTAGTATCAGTTGGTACTTTGGCTCCAGTTGTTGTTGTAGTTTCAGTTGTTGCTGTAGTATCAGTTGTTACTTTGGCTCCAGTTGTTGCTGTAGTATCAGTTGGTGCTTTGGCTCCAGTTGTTGTTGTAGTTTCAGTTGTTGCTGTAGTATCAGTTGTTACTTTGGCTCCAGTTGTTGCTGTAGTACCAGTTGTTGCAGTAGCATCAGTTGGTACTTTGGCTCCAGTTGTTGCTGTAGTATCAGTTGGTGCTGTAGTTTCAGTTGTTGCTGTAGTATCAGTTGTTACTTTGGCTCCAGTTGTTGTTGTAATACCAGTTGTTGCTGTAGTTTCAGTTGTTGCTGTAGTATCAGTTGGTACTTTGGCTCCAGTTGTTGCTGTAGTATCAGTTGTTACTTTGGCTCCAGTTGTTGCTGTAGTACCAGTTGTTGCTGTAGTTTCAGTTGTTGCTGTAGTATCAATTGGTACTTTGGCTCCAGTTGTTGCTGTAGCATCAGTTGGTACTTTGGCTCCAGTTGTTGCTGTCGTATCAGTTGGTGCTTTGACTCCAGTTGTTGCTGTCATATCAGTTGGTGCTTTGGCTCCAGTTGTTGCTGTAGTGCCAGTTGTTCCTGTAACACCAGTTGTTACTGTAGCCCCAGTTATTCCTATTGTACCAGTTGGTACTACAATACCAGTTTGTACTGTGGCACCAGTTGGTGCTTTAGCTCGAGCTGTTGTTGCAGTACCAGTTTGTACTGTAGCTTCAGTTGTTCTTATGGCTCCAGATGTTGCAGTGCCAGTTGTTCCTGTAGTACTAGTGGGTACACTAGCCCCAGTTTGTTCTGTAGCTCCAATTGTTCTTATTATTGTACCAGTTGGTAGTGTAGTACTAGTTAGTCCCGTAGCCTCAATTTTTCCTGTAATATCAGATTGTACTGTAGCTACAGTTGTTATACTGGTTGGTCCTATAGCTCCAATTGTTCCAAAAGTAACAGTTGGTCGTGTAGCTCTAATTTTATCAGTAGTTCCTGTTGTCCCCACAACTTCTGTAGTTCCTCTTGTACCAGTTGAATTAATTCGTGCAGCATTGCTGGTATCTTTATCACGCTTGCTAGTCATTCCTGATCGGTCAATAATTTCGATACCAGGTTTCCCCTTACCTGTAATGGTTTTACTACCAGCGTTTATATTTTCTGTAGAATCACTAGCACCTGTCGTTCCTATTATTCCTGTTGCACCTGAAGGACCAGTTGCACTTGAAGTACCAATTTCCCCTGAAGGCCCAGTTGCACTTGAAGGACCAATGTCCCCTACAGGACCAGTTGCACCTTGAAAATCATTTTCAATTTGAGGACCAGTTGAACTTGGAGGACTGGTTACACTTGAAGGAGCAGTTGCATTTGACGGATCAACAGTATCTGAAGGATCAGTCCTACTTGAAGGACCAGCTATACTTGAAGGAACAGTTGCACCTGAGGGACCTATAGTATCTAAAGGATCAGTCGTACCTGAAGGCCCAGTTGCACCTGAAGCACCAATTGTACCTGGAGCAACAGTTGAACGTGAAGGACTAATTGTACCTGAAGGACCAGTTGCACTTGAAAGACCAGTTGCACTTAAAGGACCAGTTGCACCCTGAAAATCAAGTTCGATTGGAGGACCAGTTGAACCCGAAGGACTGGTTGTGTTTGAAAGACCAGGTGCACCTGAAGGACCAACAGTATCAGAAGGATAAGTAGTGCTCACGATAGTTGGTGGTCCTGTTGAACCATTGGGAGTTGTAACCTCACTTGAACTTGTAACATTAAACTGATCTTCAGCATCAATTGCAATTGCTCCTTTTGTCTCTGTTGGCTCCGTAGTACTAGTGACCCCGGTAGCTCCAGTTGGCCCAGTAAGATCAATTGGTCCAGTTGACCCAATTGGACCTGTAGAACCAATTTGTTCTGTGGAACTGTTTTGAGTCGGTTCCTCAGATGGAGAACCCGTTGGTGCCGTATCTGTTTTAGGTGTCTGCTTGTCACTTGTTTTTAAAGAGCCTCTTGGTATTATAGTTTTTGAGGATTTTGTGGATCCACTTGCTCCTGTCACACTTATAGATGCTGGTTCCTCAGTTGGGTCTTGTGAGTCAGTTGGTTCGGTATCACCTATTGAAGTTGGTTGTTCAGTTAGTTCTGGAATGTCAGTTGGTTCGGTATCACCTGTTGAAGTTGGTTGTTCAGTTGGCTCTTGAGAGTCAGTTTGTTCGGTAGCACCTATTGAAGTCAATTGCTCAGTTGGTTCTGGAGAGCTAGTTGGTTCGGTAGCACCTATTGAAGTCGGTTGCTCAGTTGGTTCTGGAGAGTCAGTTGGTTCTGGAGAGTCAGTTGGTTCGGTATCACCTGTTGAAGTTGGTTGTTCAATTAGTTCTGGAATGTCAGTTGGTTTGGTATCACCTATTGAAGTTGGTTGCTCAGTTGCTTCTTGAGAGTCAGTTGGTTCGGTAGCACCTATTGAAGTAGGCTGCTCAGTTGGTTTTGAAGAGCCTCTTGGTGTTAACGTTATTTGGATTTCCGTGACTTCAGTTGGACCCGTGGCAATTATTGTTGTCGGTTCCACAGTTTGTTCTGGAAAGCCTGATGGTCCTGTGTGCCAAGTTAAGTTTCGTTGTTCAATAAGTTGGTCAATTAACTTAGCTCTAGACATGAATGTTTCGATACTATTTATTACACAGTCATACAGGTCAGTAACCAGTTCAGTAGCCCAAAGCCCAGTTGGTCCAGTTGCCCCTAATTTAAGTTTGGCCATGATGTTTTCAACGGCATCCTCTCCTGCTGGTCCAGGTGGTCCGGGTGGGCCTTGTATTCCTATGCCTGTAGGACCCGTTGGACCCCGAAAACCAGTTGGTCCTGTTGCACCCGTCGGTCCAGTGGCTCCAGTTGGTCCAATCACAATACTTCGTACAGTTGTTCCTGCAAGACCCGGGGTTTCAAGTAAACTTATTGCACAACTTGTTGGTACATAATTAAAATTGGTTTGTTGGCCATATGGTTGATGGAAACGTGATGCCATTATGAAAAATACAAGCAGATGTTTTCAGAGAATTTCTCCAAAGTTCATGAAATTTTACAATAGTCCTCTCCACTCCTTCACCCCTCCCTTCCCTTTTACCATCGTAAAACCTAGCCCCTGAACATACTTATTGTACAGGTTCCTACATAACAGGGTGGGTCAATAAAACTTGAAACATGTTTTTATTTATTCCATAGTTAGCATGATATTCATAGGATAACATGTGAAAATAAAAACGGTATTTTTGTAATCAGTGGTAAAATATATTTTTGACAAATTTTCACTTAACCATAGCATACGGTTTTTTAGCCATGACATACGGCGCCGTATGGGATGGTTTATGGATTTTTGCTACTTCAGACTCAAAACGAGGCTAAGTGTCAACATCGCCGGATCGTTTGGAAACGATCGTTTGGATCGCTTGTATATTCATATTTGCAAAAGTTCATGACAATAAATTATTTTTCAATTTCCTAAAGTATTGAAGATAATACACGGCTAACAAAAAATTACAATAGATGGAAAAAAAGTTCAAACTTTTTGGCCCACCCTGTATATGTACCATTATTATTTTTTAAATAACTTGGTCATTCGAGCAAAAACTTACCGACATCTCTTTTCTGAATGTCCCTTTTGCGATTTTTACTGAATTGTTGGACCGTCATTAGAAATCCCCGTGGGATCTTGGTGGGATATTTCAAAGCATTCAACGTTTTGGCAAGTACCTTCTGTTGATTTCTCGGATGCACCCCTCGTGTTATGTGGTGTTCTTGTTCGTTATCCAAAGATTTCTCTTCGGAAGAAATAGCTACAATTAAAATGTCTAAGACATTAGGTTAATAAATAATATCTAAATGTATAAGGACCAATAAACAGGTACATCTATGTTGCGTTGCAGTAGACTGTGCATGAATGCGTAATCACTTGATATATATAAAATACGGACATAATAAACAAATAGTGCTCATTTTTTAGAAAAGTATACATGTAGGATCTCTTTAATGTATGAATCGTTGACAAGGATGGGGTTTGCTATGGATGTAGTGGCATACTGACTTCGATTCGATTCCTCGACCTTGTTTGGTTGATTTTAGATGAAAAAAAGTTCTCATAATCTCTTGAAGCAATATAGCTTGGTAGTTTTTTGAAATCAATAAAAAGAAAATAGAAAGATATGATGTCAAAGAATGAAAAATACGCAAGAATTCTTTATTTCAAAATCCACTAGAATTACTAAGGGCCTAAAATAACTTTACGGTAAAGTTTGTAAAATGTAAATTAGAATGTTCATGTATATTTATAATGTTTCATAAACTGTAAAAAGTTGATTTTACCGAGTTTTGTTTGTTACGCAATGTTTGAATATATAAGCACAAATGCCAAAAGGGAAGGGTGACTAAAAACTTGGAAACCCAACAAGAAAAGGAAACTGTAAATATAAATCTGTCATAAGAAAAGTATCCCAAAACCATGATCTAACGTGAAAAGAAACAATGTCTAACATCCCCCTCCCCCTCCAATCGAGAACCAATATCACAATCCAGGACCAGAACACCAAGGGACATTTCATTCATACTGAAGTCATTACAATACATGTTGAAGGAAAATTGAAAAATTGATAGCCAATACTCATAACATCAAAAATAGTTATAGATACTAGTACTCATAAAAGACACAGTAATCAGTCTCAAATGATGTGGGATACATAAAATCTAGTCTCGAAGTCCATAGGAAGTCCATAGGAAACATTTTCATCACCATTGTTTGGGTTAAAGGATTTAAGCACTGGACTCCGTGCAATGTGGAATGACCATTCCTTGAAGGTGTTGCTTTCCAAAATTTGCACGAGATGCGACATCATCGAGCGTTCATTTTTGGAAAAACGCCTGAAAGGAATGGTCATCCAACAATGCATTGAGTCTTGGGGGTAAATTATTTTCACACATTGCAAAATCTTCTTTACCATGTCCCTTTAAAGGTACGAAATCATTAAAAGAACATATTTTCAATGAAACTTTTTGCAAGGGTCAAGATGGCAAATCATCAATTTCAATCAGTAGAGTCAAGGTGTCACCTTGACGACCATATGAGGAATGACCTTGGATGCCGTGATTAGTGATATAATGCACTGCAGTTATGTGAAATTCTGTGTTCGGATTGGTTGGAATCGGACACATTTTGCCTAGCTATGTGTGAATCTACAATTAACGCAATCAAAGAACACAATGCAGTATCATTATATCAAAAATGCATTCGTATTTTAGATACAAAATTAGGTCCGTAGCCAGGGGGGTTTGACCGAAGTCAGACTGAATCATAAAAAAAGAACAAAAAGTTGAAAATACCAGCGGTGTTTGTTGAGTCGTTTTGGATAGTGGCGCCATCTATAAACGTGTATACGAAGAGAATTGTCATGATGAGCAGCAATGTAGGAATGCTCCATCGGAAATGCCTAACTTTCTTGATTGAGAAAAACTGGACCATCTTCGGTTAGCTGTAAATAAAAATTAATAGTAAGTACATGTTCATTTTAATGAATTTCAATGATAAAATTACGCACACAAATGCGTTGGCATGTAGGCTTGTATTTAAGAAGACTCGCATTGTGATCATTTTTACCACTATGTAATTTTCATGAAAATAATTGAATAAAATACTTTTCACATTCTATGTGAATTTTACGCCATTTAGTAAAATGCATTGTTCAAATCAAAATATTTCGATTTGATTTTGAAATGGCAAAATTTTGTTTTCAACTTTGAAAGTTTGGAAGTATAGCTTAAGGTAAGGGTAAAGTTCATCAAAAGTACAAAAAATGGCAGCCATATTTTTTTGATAAAGTCACAGGATTTTGTATCTGTTTTTCTTATACGTGAATGCATTTCCTGACTAAAGAGACATGTCAATGAAAACTTCACATTTAAACGCATTTTTATAACCATGAATTGGAGGTGCATGGGTCCCCAAAGCTAGCATGAAGACTTTGAAATGAGGCAATTTTTGAAAGTTTCAAGGAGTAGCCTTGCAACAGTCACACATTTGCAAGAATCCAAAATTTCCACAAATCATCTTACCTTACCAAGAAACATCGAGGGAGCATGAAAATGTGCACTTCTTGCATTGTTAGAGTATGATAAAGCTCAAACCGTAGTTTCTTATAAATATTTCATGTCCACCATTTTGTTTGCCGGAACTACTTCTAGACTTCCTGATTAATCCTTATACAAGTTTTTGTGACTTCACCAAGTGGCATGGATTATCTCAGTATATTTTATCTATAACAGTTTAATAATCATGATAGATACATAATTTATGTTGAATTAAATGGTGAACAATGGGTACATGAGTGAGGATTACTTTGGACTAGAAAATAGTCCCAGCAAACAAAATGGTGGACATGGAATATTTAGAATTTACAATGGTTTGAGCTTTATTATACTCTAACAATGCAAGAAGTACACATTTACATGCTCCTTTGATGTTCCTTGGTAAGGTAAGGTGATTTGTGGAAATTTTGGAGTCTTACAAATGTGTCTCCATTGCAATCCTACTCCTTGAAATTTTAAAAAGTTATCCTCACTTCACTGTCTCCATGCTAGATTTAGGGACCCATGCACCTCCAATTCATAGTTATAAAAAGTGCGTTTAAATGTGAAGTTTTCTTTGACATGTCTCTTTAGTCAGGAAATGCATTCACATATAAGGAAAACAGAATACAAAATCTTGGGACTTAGTCCAAAAAATGGCTGCCATTTTTTGTACTTTTGATTAACTTTACTGTTACCTTAAGGTCTTATGGTACTTAACAGGAAATGACAAAACAGAAAGTGGCAAAACCATGCTGGATTTCAAACATTTTTTGAACCAATTAAGGTACAGCTGGAAAGTAACATTTTGGTAAAAAATTGCTATACCAGCACATGTTATTTTCTGGTACAAAATAAAGTATGAAGACTTTTGTCAATTGCCTTGCTTTTTTCAGGAAAGTATCATTACATTGTCTTCTTTAAGAATATCTAGTAGGAGTTCAATGGGAACTCCAGGAAATTCTGATATTTCACACTTTCTATTTTTCCAAATTTTCTTTCAAAGTTTCCAGACAACACAGGAGCTACCATTGACCTGTTTCCAGGTTTACTAAAAGTAGACAGTGTAATGATACTTTCCTGAAAAAAGCAAGGAAATAAACACATGCCTTCATACTTAATTTTGTACCAGAAAATAACATGTGCAGGTATAGCAATTTTTTACCAAAATGTTACTTTCCAGCTGAACCTTAAAAATAATATTATTGTAAACAATCCAATTTTGTTGAGAAATTTAAAAATCAAAGAGGCGGCCATTTCTGATGTTTTTTTCTTGAAATATCAACATTTACTTGAGTTGGTGTTTGCATCTTTCAGTTTTGCACAAATATACGCGTAGTAGCATACTTCTTGAGGATAAACCATTTTTACAATGGATGAAAATTTAGATTTTCAGTGACCAACTTTTTATTGTACAAAAATAAAGATCACCGATTTTTATCGAAAATATTTAGCCTTATTTTCACAGATGACTGTATATGCATAAATATGATTCTAATTTTTTACCTAGACGTATCGTCCTATTTCATCTACTTTCCCCTGTATACAATACGTTGACAGTGTAAAATCCAAGTCAATTTATATTACGGTAGGTTCATGTTGACGATGCCTTCTTCCCTGCCAAATTTCGCATGTGCAGCAACGAACGTGGTTCATGGGGGATTAGTTTCAATTGACCTTCAATACTGAACTTCGTAGGAGGTAAATCACCCTTTGTAGAATAAGTCTGCGTGAAACACACGGTGCGGATAAATGAGCGCTCAATGCGGAGCCGACGGTTAACTTGAATTTGTCAAATTCTGAAACTAAGCGCGCGCTGACTCGAATTGTGAAGATAGCTGTGCAGATAGTCTTATAGCGGCGCAAGATGCGTTTATACATTTTAGTGCAATCATAAATGAACAAAATTCATAAATGAACATTGGTTCCACACCGAACTATGTGTGTCCACACCGAGTCATGTGTATCCACACCAAGTTATGCGTATCCACACCGAGTGTTTTGTACGCTTAGTCTGCATTGGGTGAAGGTCGTCTTGAGGTTTTCATAGCGTTCGTTTTAAGCGACTCTCTGTCATTGTGTCTTATATGATGTGTTCACCTGATTAATGGAGCTGTCACACTTTTGCCGTGTGGACTCACAGTTCGCCATCGTATGAATGATTTGGGGCAGACGGCGAGGCACGGCATGGATACACGGTGGACAAAACAAATAGTTTTACGGCAAGATATCCCCATCACACAAAATACAAAAAATTGATGACTTAGTATCCCGGACAGGTTGAATGATGCAGTCATGTTTTTACTCTATATTTGCAATGGAACTACCATTCTTATTGAAATTTGAAATTTTTAAGATTTATTCTGTAGACAATTTCCAACATGGCAAATGCATATTTTATCAAGATTTCCAATTAAATGACTTTGACCGACTTTTTAAAAAAAAAAACACTTCACTGTCAATAAAATACAGGTTATTGAACTTATAACGTCATTTCAAATATTGCCTGGCTATTGAATTTTCGGCAGCCTAAAGTCTTTTCAGATATATTTGTTGCCATATTAATAATTATGGCTAATTATTGTTATTCACTTTAGTCATATTCAATATTATAACAGTGCATTAGACCAGATTTTTTCCTTCAAATAAAAAATTGCCAATGGTAAAACATTTCTTAAACACTAACGTTTAACCAATACTGTATTGTAAAATGTGTATCAAAAACCTCCCATTGAATAACCTCTATGTCAAGATTACGGAATATCTGTTATTCCCTTGGTTTCCATGATCTCTGGAACTCCCAACAGGAATGGGCGGAATTTCTTCAATATTTGCAAATCAATAAACCGAAGATTTGACTCGTTTCCAACATTTTTCATTTACAGGGAATATGTCTAGCTAATTAATCCTTCAGAGTGCACTTAACAGTTACATATTTGAACAAATTCTTGTTAGAATATATACTGTATTCTCTCAACTAATCTGTGCGGGAATCTGTGTTTTCTGGAATGAAGGGAGTAGATGAAATACCATACTCGATAGGTTCTGGGCCGATATAAAGATGGCAGCAGAATTCAGTATTATCTTTTTCTCTATATTTATAAATAAACACAGATCGATTACCATGCCATCTTTATTTAAAATTATTTCTATAGACCTTAGCCTATTATATGTGAAATACAGACAAGTTGAACGTAAGTTTCGAAAAATGTCACAATCACTAATCTGGTTATTGTCACTTTAAATTTTACTTACAAGCATCTTCTACACGTCCTTTACTTCTATTAGTAGACACGCGAGGCTGTAAATCAATGTTCCAAGCGATGCATCAACATTCATAGTCGCCATAGAAACTCTCTACATCCTTCCGCGTAACTTCAATACTTCCCTCTAGGTACGTAATCCCCGTATCGACGTCCTGTTCAAACTCAGTTTAAGTGTTTTTATTTGTACCTGATTGAGAGGGTTAAGGGAAATAGTTGGAATTAAGTCTCTGGAAAACCAGTTGAGAGGGCCACCGTAATTCTCAGTGGTCACAATATTACACGTTTGCGTGCCCTCAATAATATGGAAGTTAAAGGTGCAACAATTGGTGCAGGGGGGGGGGGGGGGCATTCAACGATCATCGACCAGTGTCAAAATATACTTTAGTTTGGATATTTCATCAAGACTAACATATATTTTTATTATCTCCAAAGAAACCCCCTGGATGAATATCATTTCAGCTGGTATTCCTCTTGAAACGTGGTGAATCTTAAAAATCTATAAGTGGAGCTTTGAACTGAATTTTCACTTCTAAATGCTGAAATTGAGAGTTTATCCATACATTTTAAGAAAATAGGTATTTCAAAGAAGATGTTAAGCCAAATATTGACCTGATATCTCAGAAAAAATAAAAAATTTCGAATTTCCTCTCTACATTCCTTGTTGCCCCTTTAAGCTACACGTTTGTAAGAATACTTGCCATTAGAACATTGTCCTCTAGAGACTATGTCCCTCAAAAGATAAGTTTTCTACTATGCAAAACGCTTGGTGCTTGGCCCAATGAGTTTAAAGGTAAAACATAGAATAGTTGTAAATAGGTCCCTGGAAGAACCAATTGTTTAAATTAATACACGTTCACGTATACAAGTACTCTACAAAACGTGTAGCTTAACTCAGGCCCGTAGTCAGGGGGGGGGGGGGTTCGCAGGGTTCGGGTGACCCCCCCCCCCTGGCCAAAAATTCTTTCAATCATGCAGTTTTCACCATTTTGAGCACTTCTCAAGTAATTTTAGCCATATTTGGGCCAAAATTGTCAAATGTGACCCACCTGGAAATTTTTGAAAACTGACCCCCCCCCCCCCCCTTGGCAAACCTGGCTAGGGGCCTGATACCTTACTAATGATTCTGTTTGAATTGAGCCAAGATTATAGTCTCGAACCAATCAATAATCATTGTTTGAACATCATACTATATGACTATATTTGGAGTGTGTTTATTATTACCCTAAAGTCCATTTGACTACCGGTTAAGGAATGGCTAAAAGTGATTATTTTAGATACCCTTCGTGGATTTTCCTCTTCACCGTGCCATACTTTCTGGCATTAGTATTCGTAAGTATTTTACATGAATATATATTTTCTATTTCTGTGCAACTGTCATACAGAATTGTTACGTTTAATATGTGAAAAACAGCATTTTGTATTGCAATTCCTTTGAGAGTGATTACACTTTGAACTGTTCGTTATTTAGCACATAGTACAGCGACGCACACTCTATATTTGTCATGTTTATCTTATTTCATTTTGAATTTTATTATGGACCTCAATGATAACATTTTCGACTTCCAAGGAGTTATAACAAAATTTAGATGTTATGATTATATGTTTAACATGTTCAATATGATTGCCTCTTTATCGGGCTCTTTATTAACACCCCCCACCCTCCCCGTCCCTTAACCATCAAAATCGTCAATACGCAGCGGATCGACAGTAGCTTATATTTAACCCATTCCTGCAGCAAGGGCCTATGCCTCCCTCTCTCCTATCTCTCTAACGTTTCTCTTACTGAGTAATAATGAAATGAAACAAATAGGGGGACGGGGGGGGGTGCTATGAAAGACTAAATTGCATATTTTCATTTTTAGGTGGGAGCCTATAACGAGTCATGGGGAAGAAGTATAACGTTCAGTTTTCTCATGCCAGTGTTTGATCGTATACGAGACAGACTAGTTAGAATGTGAGTTGGATTTATATTAATAAAATTTCACTTCCACAAATTAATCAACCTGTATTTTGGGCGAATGCTTGTGTATTAATTGCGTTTTTATTTATGGAATTTGATTAATGCAATTTAAACCTATGTTTCAATCCGTGTTCATTAAATGCAACGATAAGGCCTGTGCAATGAAAGTGTGTTTAGTTCGTATAATTTTTAAAATAAACATTCATGTTTATCGTTGATCTTTCAATGTATGCCATGTTAAGGTCCCGGTAAAGGTACAAACTACAAATAATGTATTATTCGAATAAATCGATCTAGTTTGTAGCTCTATAGTATAATGTACTTACTTTTTCAACTCTAAGGTTGAGTCCTCGTTTCTGAACTTTACATACTTAACATGTTTACGTAAACAGTGGTTATCTTACGATTTGTTTCATATTTTATGACTACAGATCGTATTTGGATTAGGCCATTCAAAATTAATGGTATGTCTAAGTATGTATGTTGAGGGGAGAAACATGGGAAGATAAAAGGTGAAACCGATTATCTTAAAATGAATTATTTATTTTATTTTTCTGTATTGGTTTATTCGTACTAGAAGCAGAGGACACCAAAAAATATACATGGAACGTTTTTGATCAAATAGCACCCCTTCATGCAATATTTTCAATAGGAAAGTATCGCAGCTGACTTGCTGTCAGTCCAGAAAATAGCCTCAAATCTTGGAGAGAATTATGAAGGAGCGTTTAATAAACATTTAAGTGTGAATGGCCTACGTATTACTAGTAATCATCAAAATGTTTCAACGACAAAAGTCTTTATTTCTGAACTTTGCAAACTTGTGTATTTTAAAACATTGATTATCTTACGATATTATATCATTCTATATTACAGGACTTTGTTTGTGTTAGTGTCCCATACAATAGAGGCATATGTAGCTACACGACTTTGCAAGTATGTCACTTATATATTTAGTTTACTCTAGTACAGGGTGTCAAAAAACAGGACCGTAAGAAAGTTAAATAATTCGGTCAATTTTGCATATTTTGCCTTGAAATTTTAGAATTATTTAGTTAATTCAATGTGAATTTTGTTCTTGAAGTTTGATGATAATCTGTCAATTGTGTCAAAAACTACAGTACTTTACAAAACAAGCTCAAAGTGGGAACTTCTCTCTTTTCACAAACACTGTGAACCAAGTTGTTAATGACCCTAACCTATACACATCAATGTGGATGGTACATATTGGAGTTATTCAACTTTCTTATGGTCCTGTTTTTTGGACACCCTGTACGAACCAAGGAATATGGTGTGATGTTCATCAAGTCTCTTTATACACTACAAAGTCTTTGTATGAGTGCAAATATACTTTATGGACACCTTATATATTAGGTGCATGCGGGATAGATGTATACGTGAAAGGAACTCATATAATTCTATAA